TTCTAGTGAATGAAGTCCCCTTCCTTCCTTTTCTATCCTTCTTAACCTTTCGCCACTCCCCTCCCTTTCCCTGAACAAAAATCAACTTTAAACACAACACATGGCAGTGAGTAAACTCACTCAAAATTGCGTAAGAGTGCTGTCGCACTAACGCAGTATTAAACACAAGAAGAAGGTATTAAACACTTATATGCTATATGGTGCATACTACCGTCCAGCAGATAATCCTCAGCTTGTCTGACATTTAACTTAGCAACACTAGAAAACATATACAGGGTGTTCCTATTGTGCCAAAAATTGAGGAATGATAGATCTCGCCAAAATAAACGTTTTTTACTTATAAACCCATAGGCGCATGCGCTTTGGTTAGGTGATAATATCACATTACAGTCCGCACTGTGGTAGCCACCTTGCACACAGAGAAACGTGTTTAAATAAGCAGAACCTGTGTTATTAAATAATACAGAACCCAAAGAATGCTTGCAGTATTTATTTAGAATAATGATTCACATCAAAAGATGCTCAAAACTATGACCACCCGCCTCATTGCATGTGTAACAACGTTGTAGCAAAAATATCGAGTAGATTTCTGCAGGAAACCCTTCCCGAAACTGTTTCCCTGTATGCCAGACAAAATATAGGGTACCAACACGAAAGACCACCACCATATTACTTGTTAGCCAAGGGAACATCTCAACGAAACATCTGGAAAGGGTGCATGGACTCCACGTTCACCAGACCTAACGGAATGCTGCACCGCGCTAAGCGGAAGGATTGTTGCAGCAGCTGCTGAAATTCTCGAAACACCATGAATTTTTCAAAGTGTTCAGGAGGCTATGCTACGGCGCTGTCACGCACGTATGGAGGTGAGTGGTCGTAACTTTGAGCATCTTCTGCTGTGAATCATTGTTTTAAGTAAATACTGCAAGCATTCCTTGGGTTTTGCATCATTTAATAACACAGTTTCTGCTTCAAACGCGTTTCTCCGTGTGTAAAGTGGCTACCACAGCGCGACGTTTAATGTTCTATTATCACTTAACCAAAGCGTATACGCCTATGTGTTCACAAGTAAAAAACGTTTATTTTGGCGCGATCTATCATCCTTTAATTTTTGGCACAATAGTTTCGGAACACCCTGTATATGGTATTCTTATACAGTTTCAGAAAACCAAAAGCTTGTGCAATTTCCAGAGCCGAGTCATTCTGGAGGCACTGCACCAAAATTCCAAATCCATCATTTGACCAGTGTGCGTTTGGCTAATTATAGTCCCCAAATACGTAAATAACTTGAGAAGAATGATGTAGTCGAATATACTCCACAGAGACATAGTGCTAAGTGTGAGCTTCTTGGTCTGAGGTGGTAAAAATACACCCGCTACTACAAACTGAGCCCCATTTAGCTCACACAAATAAACAAAAAGCTGCTCCACACGATTCTCACCGATTACAATACATTGCGATTGAAACCTGTTGCTAACAAACATAATGACACCTCTGTCTGCCACTCTTTTTCTTACTTCTTGTAACTGATCTGTCATTTCTGTACATTGTAAAACCCTCACACCTGAGCTCGTAGTCATGATAGTTCTCATTTAGATTACTTTCCACCATGACTAATGACTATGATATCATATACACTACCTGCCCGTGCTATTTACAGATCATGTATTTTCGTCCTAACGCCGCCCACATTCTGATAGTAAATGGTTAGTGAGGAATGTGAGGATTTTACTGATTTTTTTGTTCTTTATAGTTTCAACCCCCGGCAAACCATTATGATACCTGAATGACCAAATTGACTTTACCAGCTGCTCTTCTAGCATCCAGTTTCTTTTAAGCCGCTACATATGCTTCTTGCTGCATCTTAGTTTGATCCACAGAAATATTATATGGTGAGCCACGTAACCTATTACATGATTTAAGTGCATCCCTGACAACATCGGAGCTACAGTGTATGTTTTCCCAAGATAGATTTTGACAATGACGACTTTGAAATATAAACAATGCCGCTTATTGGTCACAAGATGCCGTGTATACCTGCATTTGACGAAGGTATCGTTTTCCAACCATGTAAAAGGATACCTCACCTGCAAGGACACGGCATTTTGCGACCAATCAGAGCCACGCGGTATTATTTATGTTTCAAAGTTAACAATGTCAAAATCTATCTTGGGAAAAAATAGAGTGTAGTGCATATCACTTTTACAGGTCTCGCCCTGGCATAGAAACTAGTAGACTTGCCCACTCGTATCACTTTCTGGACCATTCCCGTTTTTTGTGACATGCCCAGCTTATCAAAAACCACATTGACTAAAGATTTATCATGGTAAATGCGTTCTTCCAAGCTTAAGGAAACTCATTCTGGGGCATTACATATCAGCAGTCAGGATCGAATGGTGATGGTGATGCTGCGGATGGAGGTTTCTCCTTTTCCAATTCAAGAATTTTCTCTTCCAAATATTTGATATCATTCTCGATCTGGATTATCTTCCTTGTCATCAGTGGTACACCCTTAATAGCTTCAAAACAAACTTCACAAAAGTGCATCAATGTTCTCTTGTCGGAAAGTACTTGCCGTCACTAAACTTGGTCATTGTTTTGTGTTTACATATTTTCAAGTTTATTTGCCAAACAGTAAAAAATAAAATAGCTCCGAGTGGGGTACTGCGTGCTGCTATTAAAGTTGTTGTAAGTGAAATTACCCATAATTTATTAATTGGGTAAGATCGCAAAAAAAATAGAAAAAAACGAGTTTGGGTTAGAGATTAGCTCAGACGTAGAAGTACTCTGTGTGCGTCAGAACGACTCTTAAAGAAGATATCAATTGAAGATCCTGATTCTTATAGGAATTTACCAAAAATTTCAAGAACTGTTAAGACTAGTTGAACCTAAATTGACAAAGTCAGAAACGTGGATGAGATAGGACTCTATTTCTCCTAAAATCAAATTGGAAGTCACATTACGATATCTTGCCACTGACTGGTGATAATTTTCCTTCCTTGCAGTATTTATACAGAAACGCGGACGCCTGTTTTTGTGACCCGTTGACACACGGAAAGTACAAACAGAAATTCGGCGTAGCGGCAAGTAAGATAGCCGGTCCATCAATTTTTGGACAGCGCTTGCCGGCAAGTAGCAAGTGCACTTTCCTGTGGTTTACACAATGACAAGTTTAATTGCGGCAAGTACTTTCTGCCAATAAACTTTTCAAGTGTAAACGTAGCTTTAAGTTCGATGGTCCGCAGTTCGGCCTAGCATATGGATTCGTTTTCCCAAGGCTGGTCGAAATTTCCGGTCTTGATGTCTCGCCATATACCTCTGCTCCGACTCCACAGTTGGTTTTAGAGCCGTCTGTGTTGAACAGAAGCCTGCCGTCAGTAGCTCAGTCCTGTCGCCGGCCCATAGCTTTCTGTCCAGGAATCATTTTTTTGAACAACAGTTGGTTTTCTTTGGCATTATTTCAGAAGTCATGCTGAGGGTGCCGTGCCGATTTATTTCGTCCACAAGCACTGGTGTGTTGCATTGCACTACCACCCTCCAAAGTGTTTTTTTGCATGTTAAAGCCGATACGTTTTCCTAATTAGAGTAAGATTTATGAGGACTTCCATGGCTGCAGTGGGCGTGTTTCGAAGCGCTGCCGTTATCGCCAAGCCAATCTCTGTAATCCAGTAAGTATGGCTTGAACCCTTTTTTGATTCACCTTGCCCCAGCATACTATAGATCCGTAGGTAATCATTACTTTGATGACCATGGTGTGAATCCAGTAAATTTACCAGCCCCAGGTCTTGCGGTAGTTCCCAAGTGACAGTTTTGCCTTTTAAGTCAATTTTTTCAAATCAGCATTCCAGTTTAGAGTCTTTTCCAGAAGGAATCTCAGATACTTTACTTGAAAATGGTACTATTTCCTCCTGATTTTTTTATCGACCTGGATAAAGAGGTGGGCCAAACGAGGTCCTGGTCGTAGCAATCCCATTTCATCAAAATTGTTTAAGAAAACAATAATTTGCTTAAAAAATAATTGGTTTATTGATTAAGTCATCACATACAAATAATTTTATTTACGGTAAAAAATATTCAATTGGCAAAATTTCAAAAATATACATACAGAGTTCATATTTTTCAGTATCATTTAGCTGTCCCCTAGGGATTATGTCACTTAAATAAAAACAAAAAAAAAATAATTAAAATAACCATCAAAGGCAGTAAATCGACAATAAGATACACTTATAAATAACATAGAAAATAAACTAGGAATATACTAAATAATTATTATAACATAAACACACAAATATAGTACACACATATAAAATTTTTATTGGCCTCATTTTTAACAATTTAACGTCTCAAGTACTCGGAGAGACAAATTTAGTCATATTTTATTATGATTGGCAAGACGACAAAGTCAAACTTTGCACTATATTATATTATCAATTAGGTAATTATTTTGAAAAAAAGGATCCAGAATTATTACTTATTTACTTTAAAAATTCACACCGGAAATAGTTAAGTGCTTTTTCAAAACATAGCTCCGATTTTTTCACGCAACTGTCATATTATTAAGGCCATTTTGCCATTTTTCCTTATGTTGATCCAGGCCAAAAGCAGAGTCGTAGTTTCCTTTAGAAATGAAGAGTCTCTTGAAGTGGGGCGTACAGTAGAAAAGGCCTTGGTTGTAGGAATAAGAGTCCATTCTAAATAATAATTCAGCGTTATAATTTATTATTTTATTAAGGTTTTCGTTCTTACCTTAACACGCATGAACATTCCATACACTTAAAGCAGCTTTTGTGGTAAATATTGCCGTGAATGGAGATTTTTTCCAAAGAATACACTTTTTCGTTGCAGCTTTGACAAGTTTCGGTTATTGCAGCTGAAATTTCCTTTAAAAAAAGTTTGTTACCCATAATATTTGTCTTAATTTTATTATAATATCCTTTTGTGTTTGTCTTTCTTAGCATTTAAAATAAAACCCTTACAGGAAGATAAATAAGTTTTTATTAAAATCACTCAACATATTTTTAAAAAAATTGGCACAATAATAATGTAACTACCTAAAACATCAATAATACATTAAAAACATAATGTGGAATTAAGAAATACAATTACAATAATAATAAAACAAATAATTTCTAAATTCCACACATAAATTGTAATAAATAAAATCGTATTTATGCTCAATGACGAAAAATATTATCTAATTATTTGGCTAACAGCTAACATCAAAAATAAATTAAAAATGGATTATTTTACTATCGGGTGTTTTATTTTTTTTGGATATTTGTATCAGAACATTGAAGAGATTTAATTAGATCTACCTCTAGGACATTGAGACGTTTAAGTGCCTATAATGACTGCAAATCAAATCGTGATATGAGTCTAAAATAAATTTGCAGTCAATTTAATGTTTTTTAAGTGGATAAATTGCAATTCCATATTATCAATAAGTTTCTGTATAATCCAGTTCCTGTCCCAACAATGTTTGCATACTTATACCTACTACAAGAAAAACTTTGGAGAAAAATAAATCTATTTTCTGGTCTCAAATTATACAGATTCTTGAAGACAATCTCTCCGCTGCTTTCGTTTAGGTTTTTTTTGTGAATCAAAGGTCCAAAGTAAGGGAGTTGAAACTGTTTATGTCAATGATTCTGCCATGCTACTCAACTGCACATTTATTTTTGTTGTAAATATTTCGCATTTTTCTGTAAGCCTTTCTTGTAGTAATAAGGTCTGCCATCCAAAAATATTAATACAAAAATTAGTTTGTTTTGAGTAATTAAAGCCATATTATAGACTAAAACGTTTCAACAAAATATTTTTCTACTAGAAACATGCGCGTTCAAAGCGGTAATAGTTTTCTCCTTAAAAATAATAAATAGGTACTAATAAACTATCAAATTTCAGTAAAATCAACAAAGCGCTTGAAAATAGCTAACATAGTGAACATAACTTTATTGGAGAGTTTATTTTAGGATGAAATTTGCTTCAATTATTTCATCGCAGTTTCAACAAATAATTAAAGACAAAAAAATCACACGTAAATTGGTATAAAATGTAAAAACATGACATAACAAAAGTACCCTAATACATCCCTTCTTCTAAAAAGTAGATTATCAAAAAGGAAGTTTTTTCTAATTTTGTTTTCTATTGCCTCTTTTACCTACATTTATATATACAAGAAATAGAACTGGAGCAATCCAAATTTGAGTGAATTATCGTATCTATTTGTTCTAGTCTCAAAATTGGATATTACCCTCAAAAACTTCTACTAGACAAATTAAGCTACCGAATTAAATTAAGCGCTTTTAGCTTGTATTGGAAGAACAATAAAAACAAGTTTAGTAGCTCAACTGTCTAATATCCTATAATATGAAGTACAGAAGAAGTGTGTAGTAAAAACGACAAAATTAATTTAGTCGTTTTTTTTTCACATTTTCAAGACAATAAAATTTACATTGACACTTTGACGAGGGACGATTATGTTTTTGATAAATCTTACGTTAATTGTTCTTTCACTGGAAAAAAAAGAAGAACATTCAGTAAAATTTAATTCTAGGGCCAATTTCACAAATCGCGGTAACCAAAAGACACGGGTAATTCACAATATATATCTGTTTTCTTATGAGTGGTTTATCCAAAACTATTGTCAGATTATTCAACTTGAGACTTATTTTGCGTGTCAAACCGCAACTAATAGTTTGATAACCAATGCAGGTTACCACCAATTGTGAAACTGGGCCTTAGTAGGGATGCTCAAATGTCAAGAAAATTTATTTCAAGAAATAATGACTTTGAGCTAACTCATAGTAGAGTTTACCAAGCTTAAAAAGTCGTCTAGAAACGATTTTCGTTTGGACATTTTTGTTAAAAGCAACAACCATTCTTAAAATATTCTTTATCGAAAAAGAACAAGATTTGGCTTGGTCATATAAAATTCGTCCGTACAGGGGGTTGTAAGGGGTGAATTTATGAAAAATTAGAATTTTGTTTTACACTTTTGAAATTTCCAGCACTTCAGCTCTGTTCCGGTATACTCGTATTTTTTTTAGGAGTTGTTAAATGACGCCATTTCAATGCTTTCTTATGGAGCGCCTTAACGAAAAATACCCTTGACAATACTATATTATGCAATGATAATGTAATGATAGCCATTAATTAATACACGAGCATGTTGTAGGATACGAAACGAGCCGCAGGCGAGTTTCGTATATAACATGCGAGTGTATTAATGGCCATTACATGAGAGTTGCATACACTATTTTTTCTACTTGCATTAATAAACGAAAAAAACTATATCACTCTCCAAATTCAACTATACCTACGTCTAATACGTCTGTTTTACTTCTACACCACTGGACTGGGGCTGATTCAAATCTTGACACTTGACCAAAAATTCTGATATCATAGTAATGCCCACAGTTGGTAGATTATGTGGAAAGGCCTTTTGAAAACATTCCTCCATTTTAACCATAGTACCTTTTCCACCTTAATTTCGATAAACCCTAACACAGAGAGAATAGAGATCGACACGAAGGAGATATCAGCATTATGAAATAGCTATTTACCTAACAAGTGCGGAAATAGCTATTTATACAATAAGTTACGAAATGAGCGTCTATTAGGCACGCGACGTGAAAATTGTCCAACGAGGCAAAGCCGAGTTGGACAACACGTCGAGTGACTAAAAGACACCGTTTCGTAACGTATTGTATACAAGATTTTTTCTACTGGCATTTTATAATAAAAAAACACAATTTTATTTCATGTGAATAAGTCGATTACACCCAAAATCTTTGTTACCTGCTTTTACTTGACACCTGACACTTTTCATGCGATTTTCTTTTCAAAATTCGACATCAATAATTAAAATCCTAGAAAGTAGGTAATAACACAAAGTTCTGTTTTGAGTAACCCAAACGTTCAATTCAGTAATTCAATTTTCAATATTCATAATAAATACAAAACAAAATTCAAATATGTGTTTAGTGTGTTTTTTATTTCTGAATAATGAATGACACTTTTAGGCACTAGTGCTTAAAAATTACTTTTACGCACTCATAAGTCACTTTTACGCATTCAAAAGTCACTTTTACGCACTGAGTGCCTAAAAGTAACTTTCACGCACTCAGTGCCTAAAAGAATGTCGTTTCAAAACTGAAATGACAATCGAAAAGTTGCTATTATGAAACGTCAGTAGAAAAAATATTTTCCGCAAGTGTTAGGTACAATGTTTTTCCTACAGGCGAAAAAATGTAAAATTTTTCTTTTTTTTTGGACATATCAGTGCGGTAAAATTTTTCATCACCTGTTGCGAAAAATTTTACTTTTCATAACTGGTGATGAAAATTAAGGCATTTGATAACGTCAACGAGTTTTGAAAAGTGTCACTTCAAATGTCAAAATTAGAAAAAAGTATTTTCCTACAGCCGTGCGGAAAAACTTTTTCCGCACTGATATGTCAAAAAAAAAAGTTTTACCGCACCGTGCGGGAAAACTCATTTTCCGCACGCATATCAGTGCGGAAAATCGATTTTTCCGCACGGCTGTAGGAAAATACTTTTTTCTAATTTTGACATTTGAAGTGACACTTTTCAAAACTCGTTGACGTTATCAAATGCCTTACTTTTCATCACCAGTTACGAAAAGTAAAATTTTTCGCAACAGGTGATGAAAAGTAAATTTCACCATTAGTTGCAAAAAATACAGGAACATAATCTGTGATACTTTTGGGGCTGAACAACTTGAAGTACTTTGTTGTTATTATATTCTTTGTACAGGGTGATCCAGTATAAAGTGAACACCCCCTACCTTTTCGATAAAAATGTTTTTTTTCAAAAAATCAAGATAGCCATTTGGTGTATTTTTTTTCTAGGAATTTGGAAAAGTTTTTCGAAATTCAATTAGATTTTTCGTTGAAGCGCTGCGACCAAAATAGTAATTTTTTTAAATGGAATAACCTATATTTAAATCCATTTTTTAAACGCCCCTATTTTTCTCATTTCAAATATATATAGTTTGTTTATCTTTGTTTTAGTAATTTGCGATATATTCTCACTCAAGATTCAAATAAAAATAGCCGAAAATAAGGTATCAAGGTAAATCTAAATAATTTTACCTTTAAAAACGACTGGTTATTATGTTTTAGGATACCTTTTGGGCTATTTTTATGTGAATTTTAAAGTGAGAATATATCGCAAATTACTAAAATAAAGATAAACAAACTATATATTTGGAATGAGAAAAATAGGGGCGTTTAAAAACTTGATTTAAATATAGGTTATTCCATTTAAAAAAAATACTTTTTTGGTTACAGCGCATCAACAAAAAATCTAATTAAATTTCGAAAAACGTTCTTAAATTCTTAGAAAAAAAATACGCCCAATGGCTATCTTGATTTTTTCGAAAATAATTTTTTTAGTGAAAAGGTAGGGGGTGTTCACTTTATACTGGATCACCCTGTACATACATATTATGAAGATTTAATTTTATTCAAATTATTTACATTATATGACAATGTATGGAAAAAAAACTAATTAGTTATAAATAATAATACTTAACACAATTTGAACAATTATTGATTATATTGACAACATAGTTTTCTGTGTAGCATTAATTAAATGAATAAATTGAATATTTTTTCCATGGAAGTCTCTCCACGGATGTTAGTGACAATTTACTGTTTATTATAGTTATGGAATTCTCCACATAGCCCTTGGCGGCTGTATTAGACTTCCACCTCCCATGCTATTTAATTCTCAGCAAATCAGCCATAGAACCTACAAGCAAAGTTGATGATCGCTGAAAGCAATGACCGGTTTGAGTCGCCAAACTTGACACTGAACAGTACTGGCTTCCATAACAACGAAATAGGAAACATCTCTGAACTTACTTGACAGCTTAGAAATAATTATAGAAGGGACATTTTTTATGTTTTTAACTCGAATTTGAATGGATCAGATCATAATATACAAAATTAGAAAAAATATTGTGTGAAACACGTTGGGAAACACTATTTTTCGTAACTCGCTTCCTTTTGCGGAACTCGCTTCGCTCGTTCCGCAGAAATCTGCTCGTTACGAAAAATAGTGCTTGTCCTAACTGGTTGCACAAATAACTATTTAAACGTTAAACAGACTGTCTCGTTAAATTAAAACCTAACCATAATAATGATAACAATAATATTAATATTAATATCCTTTATTGCCAACAAAACTGGCAAAAGCAACGTCACAAAAGGCTGATCCAAGTAGCTGGTAGCGCCACTGTACTTGCGCGCGCTAACGCCGCTAACTCGTTACGCATTGTGACGTCAGAGAGCGTTACTTGCGTTTGAACGAATATTGATATTTCGTCTCCGTTTTTCTCATTGAAAGGATTTCCTAATTTTACTAAAATTTTGTAGATTTACTTAAAAATGTTGCTCAATAATTTGATGATTGTTAAACAGGATTTTTTTTTATTATGTGAACATTCCTATTCGAACAAGAATATCGAGGTTAAAAATATGAGAAATATGGACTCAATGATAATGATAACTGGTATACTAAAAGGATATACACCTGGGGCCCGATTCTCGTCTCAGGGAGTAGAGCTCCCCGAGTGAACAAATTTTTCGTCTTTATTATTCTTGTATTCTTGTTCACTTTTCGATCACATTGACACTGACAAAACATTTGTTTTATCGGGGAGCTCTACTCCCTGAGACGAGAATCGGCCTCCTGAGAACTTTATGGAGGAATTTGTCAGTGAAAATAATATGTCACAATTGTTTGGTGTAGATATTGAAAAATCATTCAAATTTATTACTAAAAGGGAATGTAGGAATAACATGAAAGAAAATTGGGTTTATCAAACTTCTCCTGAAGTGTTTAAATGGCTTATCCAGGAACAACAGCCTGAGGTTTGACCTCTGCCCGGCCTATGTCACTGAGTACACCAATGTTTCTATATGCTTCAAATGCTGCCTATTTGGACATGTTGCAAAGTATTGCGCAGCCACCGAATGTTGCCACAAGTGTGGAGATCCCCATGGATCCCAAGAATGTAGTTTTACTAAATATGATTGTCCTAATTGCAAAAGATCTAAGTTAGAAGAAAGAAATCATTCAGCTCGTGATCCCAATTGTCCAATTTATGTACAACGAATCCAGAGGCTACATAACTATACCAATTACACCAGTTCCAATCCTGAGTCTTTTTTAAAAGAGATAACAAGATTGATGGGTACGACAGTGGCCAAGACGGTGAGAAAGTGAATGTGAGTGTGAATGACGATACAGGAACTGACTTAAAATTTAGTATAGCTTACCAAAATGTACGAAGCCTGAACAGCAAGACCAAGGATTTTCATCATGCAGTACAATTAACTGAGAAAGATTACGACCTCATCACCCTAACAGAAACCGGGCTTTCGGATACTGTATACGATAGTGAACTTTTTCCAGAAAATTTTGTTGTTTTCAAGAATCGAAACAGATGTTAGAATGAGCGTGGTAGATTAGTGGCAGTAAAGGGA